TGAGAGGAGCCACCAAAGTCCTTCTCAGAGAGCCACCCAGTCTCTCTCCTGAAGGAGCCGTCCAAAAGTCCCTCTGAGAGGAGCCACCAAAGTCTCGCTTCTCAGAGGGAGCCATGCCGGTCTCTCCAGAAGGGACAGGCCAAAGTCCTCTGAGAGCCACTAATCAAGTCCTTCTCCAGGAGCCGGTCTCTCTGGAGGAGCCATCCGTCCCTCTGAAGGAGCCACGGACCAGCTATAAGGAGCCAATACAGTATCTCCAGAAGGAGCCATCAAAGTCCTCTGAGAGGAGCTAACGTCCTTCTCAGAGAAGCCATCATGGTCTCTCCAGGAAGGAGCCGTCAAAGTCCTCTGAGAGGAGCCACCAAGTCCTTCTCAGAGGAACCATCACAGACTCTGGAAGGGAGCCATCAAAGTCCTCTGAGAGGAGCCAAGTCCTTCTCAGAGGAGCCATCACAGTATCTCCGAAAGAGCCATCAAATCCTGAGAGAACCACCAAAGTCCTTCTCAGAGAGCCATCACAGTATCTCCGGAAAGACAAAGTCCTCTGAGGAACCACCAAGTCCTTCTCAGAGGAGCCCATCACAGCCCTGGTAATGAAGGAGCCACCAAAGTCCTTCTCAGAGGAGTCATTGCAGTGTCTCCAGAAGGAGCCATCAGAGTCCTCTGAGAGGATCCATCAGTCCTTCTCAGAAGAGCCATCTGGGTCTCTCTGGAAGGAGCTATTGGAGTCCCTCTGAGAGGAGCCACCAAAGTCCTTCTCAGAGGAGCCATCACAGTATCTCCAGAAGGGAGCCACCAAAGTCCTTCTCAGAGGAGTCATTGCAGTATCTCCAGAAGGAGCCATCAGAGTCCCTCTGAGAGATCCACGAAGTTCTTCTCAGAGGAGCCATCGCTGATGTCTCTGAAGGAGACATCAGAGTCCTCTGAGAGGAGATATGTCGCAGTCCTCTGAGAGGAGACATCACAGTCCTTCTCAGAAGAGCCATCGCAGTCTCTCTGAAAGGAGCAATCAAAGTCCTTCTCCCAGAGGAACCATCATAGTGTCTCCAAAAGGAGCTGCCAGAGTCCCTCTGAGAGGAGATGTGTCGCAGTCCTTCTGAGAGGAGATGCCCAGTCCCTTTCAGAAAATTCATCACAGTCCCTTAGGGAGGAGAGGGACACAGCCCTTTTGGGAGAAGACAGCACAGACCCCCTGTGAGGGGTGGTTGCGGTTCCTCAGAGAGAACTCACTGCAGTTCCTCTGAGAGAATTTCTGATCACTTGGACAGAGCAACACAGTCACAGAGGGTCAACACAGTTGGTCTGAGAAAACCCATCACAGTCCCCTAAGGAGAGACTCAAAGCAGCTACCCTAGGGAGAGGCTCCAGACATAGTGTGTCTAAAGAAGATTTCAAGACTCAAACACACAAAATACCCAAAGCTGGGCAAGTTTAGAGTCCTGAAGCTAACAGATGAGAAGAGATCCGCCCTTATTCACTGACTGTCAAGTCTTCACCAAGCTGCCCTTCCTGGCTTCTTCCTGCTAAGCCACTGCCTCCCATACCTGCGCCCTCAGCAAAGAGCGTCTCTGCCACTCTTCCTGGGGAGGAGGGCGGGAATGGGTCTGTAACATCTCTAAGATAAATAAAGGGGCAATAATTGATCTCCATCCAGAAACACCACTCGTCGTGCTGGGTGGGGAATGGAGGTGGAGGATATTTGGTGTCGCGCAAAAGGATGGAACGACAGGAAGGGGTTCTGAGCCGTGTTGAGGTCCAAACCCCCCACCACAGCCTCCTGGGGCGGGGTCTCAGAGGGAGGGCACGTCATGTGACTCACCCAGCCGCAGCCCTCCCCGGAAGCCGCCAGGCGGAAGTAGACGTTCAGATCTGGACTCGGCGGCGCCGACTCCACATCCGGGAGAGGAGAGGAGAGCGAAGTGGCGTTGGTCTGGCCGGAGCCCGGGTGGATTTGTTGGGCGTGGAGAGGGTGATGTCTTCCAGGCTCGGTGCAGTACCGCCGTGAGTTTCTCGGTTTGACCGTTATGTTTTAGGGTAGCGCTGTCGAGCCCGCAACGCGGTCCTCGCTTTGTGCCATGCTCAGAGTTGGTTTTATCAGAGCCCATCGTAGGCCCCACCCTTCTAGGTCAGATCTACCTGTCTCCTTTTCCCAGTTACCGCTGACTGTTCCCACCTCTCCTTGGACTCAGTTCTTCGCTAGATTACCATTAGTTTCTATTTCTTTTATATCCTCCATATCCGTTGTCCTCTCTTTTCGCCTCCCTTTTAGAGCCTCTATCTGGGACGGGGCTTTTGAGAATGGGGAGATGAAGGCTATGGTGTTGTCACCTGCCTTGGCTGGGTAGGAAGACAGGACGACACGCTTTTCCAAAAAAGTCTTGCTTTCTTCGTTGAGGTGGTTGCCCCGGGAGAGCTTCGGCTTCTTCTGGGCACAGGGGATTCGTCTTTTGTGGTCAAGGTTCAGCGGTCCCTAGCATTCACTCATGTGCTTGCGATTTGCTAGACTCGGAACCCACATCCTTTAAGCACAGAGGAGCACGAAGATCGTGGGAGCTAAGAAATAAGGTGAGATTTTCTGGGGTCCATTTATTATAATTGTGTCGCCAGCGCTGTCCAATGGAACTTTGTGATGATGAAAATGTTCTGTATTCCTGCCTGGGACCGTAGCCACGTATGGCTTTTGAGCACTTGAAATGTGGCCAGTGTGATTGAGGAACTGAATTTT